TAGTAGTAGTAGTAGCAGCAGTAGTAGTAGTAGTAGTAGTGGTAGTGGTAGTGGTAGTGGTAGTGGTAGTGCTAGTGCTAGTGGTAGTAGTAGTAGTAGTAGTAGTAGTAGTAGTTGTTGTTGTTGTAGTAGGTTTTCGTTGCTTGTGTCGCCCCTGTCGTTGTTGTTCTTGCTGCAGTACTTGTAATAATAGGTCAACCCTCTTCCCTCTGCGAGGACGGCGCAGGAAATGGTCAACCAAGCGATTCAGACAGCGGCCTCTAGCCCAGGAGGTGCAAATCTGAGACGTTTGGAGAGAAAAGGTTGTGCGATGTTGCATGCAGGATCGGCAGGTGTCCACAATCTCGTAACAAGTGGAGGGTGTTTTCAGATGGACGTGAAGGAAAGCATGCTCACATGCTGAAGCGTTTTGCTTCGATTCTGGTGTAAATCCTGCGGTCAAGGGCCCCAACACGTTGTCCAGAAGTCTCGAGCGTCTTCTTCATCAGGCCGTTCGCCCACAGTGCCGCTGGAAGACATCAGCCACCTGTCGTGGCCTCTGCTTTGAAATTCTGTAAAGGAAAAAGTTGAACTGCCCTTCCTCAGCTGTTTAGGGGCTACAGGCCCACAGGGACCCTGGAGAACATGCTGCGCGCCTCGACAAGTCTGAGGTGGGCTCCGCCACAAACACCGCCAGCTCCCTCGGCGCCACATGTCGTCGGCCAGTCCGTGCTCCGGCCGATGCCCACACGCTCACCTTTGGCACAAAGCTTTCCAGGCCGGTGAGGATGCTAGACATGTTTACCCATAGGCCCCATAGTAGTTCCTTTTTGGGGTTCATATATAGAATTCTATAAGCTAGCCCCCAAAAGGAACTACTATGGGGCCTATGGGTACCGATGCTGAAGCAGTTCATGGTGCCGCAGGTGAGACCACAAGTGCTCTTGCAGCAACGCAGTGGCCGCTCCCCACCCGAGAGACGACCACTGTGACGCAGTGGGGGCCAGCCCCTCCGCGAGCGATCAGTGGGCAGTTTCCAGTCCTGCCAACAGCTTTGGCAAGTCATCCGCCGACAACGCTGGCTAGTCACCCGCAGCCAGGCCAGGCAGATTCTCTTCGGTGTAAGAGGACTCTGCCGTGATTGCATGTTATATAGTGAAGTTATTAGGTATGTATGTTATATATTGTAGGAACCTGATTAAGAAACCCTGGCCCTATAACCCCAATATACTAAGGTTCATACTAAGAACCCGAATAAAGGCCCAGGGTTTCTTAATCAGGCGCCTGTAGTATGACTAGTTATATGTGAAAAAAAGGGGCCTTAATCATTAGCTCTACTACTTTGGAGGGTTCCTTATCATAACAACACCATAAAGGGACCCCAAAACCCTATTCTAATTATTAAGGCCCCTGCGTTAGGGCTTCTGCCTTGCCCAAGAAAGCTCGTTTCGCAGGCCCGGTTGGATATGCGCCCGTGCGTCCTGGAGGTCCAGAGATTCCCGTCCGATTCGGCGACTTCGGGCCATTCAGGGTTTAGGGCTCTTGAGCAAATCTAGGGGCCTCAGTAATTAGAATGAGGGTTGGGGTATATTTTAGTATAATGACGATAAGGAACCCTCAGAACCACATTCTAATTATTAAGGCCCCTACATTAGGGCTTAGGATTCAGGGTTTAGGNNTGGGGTCTAATGAGGGTTTAGGGTTTCATAAACTAGGGTTTGACTGGTGTTTGATTAGGGTTTAGTTTAGGGTTTCCAAAGAAGGGTTCGAAGCTGCGACCTGACTGGGCTTCATCTGGCCCTCAAGTCGACGTTTCCAAGAGAAGAAGCCGGAGAGAGTGGGAGAAGTACGAGGGAAAGAAAGAGCTTCTTCGGTCTGCTGCTGCAACAGTGTCATATAGTATAAGATAGTAAAGCAAAGTAGAATATGGTATTATAATATGGTAACTCAGGAGTACAATATAGTACAGCACAGTATAATATGGTGCAGTATAGTACAACACGGTACAATATAGCACAATATAGTATAATATGGTACAATGTAGTACACTATAGTATAATCTAGTACAATATAGTATCATGTCATATTGTACAAGATAGTACGATATAGTATAATATAGTGCAATATAGTACAATGTAGTATAATATCCTACACTACAGTAGAAAAGTCGTTCATAGTTCTGACTGTAGCTCCCTCAGCGACTGAGCACCGAGAATGTCCGGCTTGCAAGGAACGGAAGCCCCAAGTCGGATGTAGTGACGTCCATCTGAGACCTGCGCTTCCGGTTTAGCCGCCGTGTGCGTGTGTGTGTGTG